TCGGAAAGCACCGAAACCAAAAGACCTGCCTGAGCCTACACATTTATGTCATGTTGACGTTATGAACATTGTCATCTTTTTGACTAATTACTCCAAAGTAACAGTTATTAGTTCGGACGTTAGCTTTTGGTCACGTGTGTAAAAAGATACATGAATCCAACTATATATAATTTTTTGTTTAAGATAACACTGATAACCCATGTAAGTTAAATTATGGATAAGTGTCATTTATTAAACTACATTAAAAATGTGTGTCTATATTTCATGAATTTTTTAATAAATGTGTTTTCAGAAATTCAAGAAAATGAGAACCTATTTTTGAATGAATCACAGTAAAATAAACTATTCATTCTTTGATTTTGTGGATATTTTCTATAAACAATTCTAAAGAAATTTGACCACTATTAAATCACAAGTTAGTGTTGACACAAATTTTTGCACATTTTACATAGAATTTACTATCAATGCAATAGTTTGAAGATTTAATTGCATGTTTAATAAAATCACCAGTTGACAGACCACAGACAGACGGAAACGGGAGCTTGACATTTCCGTATTGTACAAGCCTTTTAACATGAATTTAAATTTTCTATTACAACGCTCCCTGCTTAGAGGAAAGTAAAAAATGTTGTCGATATAAAAATGTGTATTTTATAAAAAAAAAAATGACATGCAGAAGGATTTTTATAAAAAACTATTTGTTGTCGTTTACGTTTCGTATATCCATTATTTTAATCATTTATTATATATTAATTTAAAAAAAACGTGAAGGAATGGGCACGTTCGCAAACGTTCGTCACTCGCTTACTTCGCCAATAAAGTTTTTGTTTCCAAAAAATACATTTGTTTAACCTGCATTATATTCTGAAACATTAAAACATTATAAATTATATCTGTACACATAAGAAAATATGAACAAACGTTTCAGAAACAAATTGTAGCACTGCGACATTACCATTAAAAATTAGCATTGAAATGTCTTCTGCAGATTTCTAGATTATCTTCATGAATCATGCAAATTGCGTATGATAGATATTAGAGGGTTGTCGTTGCCAGATTCAAATTATCTCCCGCATTAAATTATATCAAATTAAAACTTTTACCAACATCCCCTTTCCTTTGTCAGTTTGTATTTATCTGTTGCTTAATTAAACAAAGCGTTTATTATAATATCAATACATATTTAATTATCTATAACTATTAAGTAGTTAAAAAATTAAGCTTAAGTAGAACAGCATGTTAGCATGTATACCTAATGGTAAATTTTCATAACTAATGAATTAAACGAAGTTTCAAGAATCCTGTTACTAACAACGTAAGTATAATATTATAAAAGGTATGGATCGATGAGAACTTATTACGACTAAGTGAATATTTTAGCTTGAAATTTCAAATACGTCAGCTAATCAAAAAATGCTTTTCGTTTTAAAAGACATTAGAATTAGGCATACCTAGATTCTAATGGTCGGTTTTTTGAATGCCTGTTCAACTTGAACTGTTGGTTAATTACAGGGAAAAACCAAATGTTTCCTTGTAAATAAAATAACCATTAGTTTTTAATTAGCCAGTTATTGAACAACAGGCCATAACTATGTTCAACATGTGAATTCACAATTTTATAGTATTTATAAAAGCAAATTATTAACGTTTAGCACAACAGAAATTTATCTTAATGACTGAATAAGCATTTATGAACCAAACGTTGCGAAGTTTGGTTTTTCTAAATATTGAAGTGTAAGTGGCATTTCACATGTAAATAATACCTACTTGACGAAAATAAGTAAATATTTCTAATATATAAAGAAATGTATATACATTTTAGAAAATATAGGTTAAATGATCACGATGAATTTAAAAATTGTTTTTATTAATTCGTAAATTACAGTAATTCAAAAATCACAGTTTCTAACAAGCGCAAAGAACAAGACAGGACCTTCAGGTACGGATTAATGCGTTGGCTAAGTGAACTGTAGTATTTTATTTACTTTAATTTACGAGCAGCTGAGCAATTTACAGCGCCGCTGTAAAATATGTCAAATGACTTTTTATAGCGTCTTTGGTAAAACATTTCCAGAAAATTCAGCACCGTAGAAATAATATATACTCCTTAAATGAAAGTTTTCTGTAATTTTCATATTTTCAAACTTATTTTAGATTTTGTTTTACTTTTTGAACAGTAATATAATAAACTTTGCCGATTCTGATAGTCATTTTATTGTATTAAAATTAAAATTAATAAAATTAAAAATTAAAATTAATAAAATTAAAAATTAAAATTAATAAAATTAAAAATTAAAATTAATAAAATTAAAAATTAAAATTAATAAAATTAAAAATTAAAATTAAAATAATTAAAAAATCTTGTCTTGTTCGTAAAACTTCAAAAGCAATGTAAACGAAATTAACTACTTCTCAAATTAATTTTCTAAGAGGCAAATGGTTCCCCAAGGCAAAGATTAGGTTTTTTTTCTATAGTTTACCATTTTAGCAGATTAGCTTAAATTGGCTCCAAATATTCAGTATACTGTCTTCTGGTCAGCTAAAGATTAATTACCAAGAGCATTAGCTCACTATAAATTATAAGATGTGGTTTTTGTAGGAGATCTATGTTATAATTATATCAAGATTCCGAAGTTTATTCTTCCAGTCAGTGCATTAAAATTTAGTGGGGATTCGATTCATTTTATTTGCTATCTAAGTAAAGTTTATGTTAACAAATCGTTGCTGTAATTTCTGGTAGTTAGTTTAATTCCACCAGAAATAGAGGAAGCTTCAAACGACAATTTTGCAACAACAGCAATTCTCCTATAGATTGTTAAAATATTAAACACATTCGCGGAGCAAACAAAAAATTTTAATTTTAACTAGAAACAAAATTCAAAAATAACAAGAACCAAAAGATGTTATCATTCTCTACAATTTTAATTCCATTTAGTAATATATTTTTCACAACGCCGTTGTTAATCCTCAGTTTCAAACATACTCGCATATCGTTTTGATACTTTAAGCTTCCTAGCGTTCCCAGGCTCGTTGTGTTATTTAAAACCAAATAAAACTTCCCTAATAAGTAATAATCCACCTGATGATCCTAGTTGTCATAGTCTATTCCATCATCTGTACTGTTCAGCCATTTTTATTTAAAGCCAAATCAATTTTAACAATTATGAGCTGTACATTTACAGCAACAAATGGAAAATATACGCAGATTAGTTTCCAAAATGATTTTCTGAGAGGGGAGATGAATTTCCAAAGCAAACGTTAAAGCAAATAATCCTTCTGTACCTACTGTTATTGCTTCCTGCTTTTATAATATTGTTTAAGTTAATATTGACTACACTACAATATACGAATATGACTGCGAAATAGATACCAAAATGTATTAACGCTGACCCGTTCTTTTGTAATGAATAACATTTGTGACTTATAGATGAATGACCTGGTGAATTGAATTTATGCAGAATTTTTTGGTAAATATCAACTTTAAATCTATTTTTATTGTATATTTTAATCAAAATGATTTATTAAATATATTTGTTTGTATAGGTACTTAAATAAATTTTTCGAATAATGTACAATTAAACCTGTGTTACATAGTCCAATTAGAAATACACATTAGAGTACACAATATATAATTTAACTAAATATTTCAAACAGTAACCAAAAATTAACCGACATAAACGTAATTCTGAATACATTTTTAGAGGCTTTGCCTACACACTAAGTATCAACATTCTGAATGAAATTCAACCTATTTTAATTAGATTTTACCATTAAAATTTGAATTTTTCATACTGATTCAGTTATCTTTAACAATTTTCATTTGATGAAATTGATACCCGCAAACCACTTTCTAGCCGTTTCATTATCTACTAAAAAATTATTGTTTTATTTATGATTTCTTAAAATATAAGAACATATTTAAGGGAATATTAGGATAACTATCAAATATAAACCTAATAAATGGGGACTTATTGTAAAAGTGTTCGAAAGGGTTGTACAAAAAAAGACAAAAGATATAGCAAATTCAATTTAGCTTTGAGTTGTGTGAACTGAAGAGTTAATAGGGCATAATTATGAAAACTAGTTTACTTGGACAAATACTTTAGTAAAAATTATTCAGTTTTAAACTATTGAATTTATTCTATAAGTGGTTTCCACAATGCATAATTTATAGTATCATAAATCTTGCTTGTGACGTGTGTACATATGACAAATGTCTAATAGTAATTGTACTCCGTGCACTCGGTGGCGTATTTAATTTGCCCTTTTTGATATATTTCGTTCATCCTTCTTTTTAAGGACGCAAAATTGTAAAGAACAAGGTTTCTCGGTCACAATAAATTATCATAATGGTTACATTTATATATTTTGCAACGTATTAAAACAAAATTGGATTCATCTCGCATAAATTATCAGTACAGGTACCGATGTTAAAATTTATTTACGCAAATGTTGCAAAATAGGTTTCATCCAAGAACACGTAAGCATAATATATAATGTGATGTGAAATAAAAATGAGGACACAACATTTTTTTCATAATTAGCAACAGTATAATAATTTATTCAGACCAGACGATGCATGACTGCATGGAATATATAATAAAATATTTTGTATATATTGGCTCACATTTATGTGATAAATTATCATTACATGGAAGAAATAACTGTTATATGCATTAACACATAACAGTTGTTTAAACGTGGCAGAGGAAGACTTTCGGAATTGCCGATACTTTTACAGAACGAACAGTGCTCTATATCCTTTAGACTAGATAGCAAAAATTGGTATATTATTTAGTTTAAGTAATTATTATTAAAGAAAAAGTACGTTCTTGTTCTTTTTATTTTAACCAGTGAGATAATTGTGTGAAAATCTATTCATTCAGCAGGGTTAATAACCTGAAGAATACGTAGCTGTGGTGTGGGAGCTACGTTTGGCGAAAACGTTGACAGGTTCAGTTTCAACCGCAAAACTACTACCGACTAAAAAATGAACCTACCTGGACCAGGTGCCAGCCTGGAATCCGCAAGTACTAATAAGATAGTCCAGCAGCAAAAGACCAAAATAGCCAAGTAGTTTAAATAACTAGGGTTTCCCCCAAACCACCTCATTTTACCAACACGACTCACTCAACAATATTTAACTAAACAAAAATAACACAGAACATAATAATAGATAATGCACAGATGAATGGAGTTGGTCTTATCCAAACTGGAACATTATAGTTAAAAACTAGTTTCGGTTTTTTAATTCACTAGACACTGGTGTATTTTCTCAAGAAAAATGTATAGCGTGTCCGCTTTTCTATGGAAAGCTCTTGTTGCCACATCTAACCGAACCGACAACGGCCGCTCGCCGACTGAACTCATCGTGGTGGTAGTGGTTAGTTGCAATTCCGTGGCGCTTGCCCTGTACCAGGTAAGAGCGCGTACTCTTCTCTCGTATTGTATAATTCCAAGGTTGTAAGGTGTTACGTCCAGGTCAATCTGAAGAGATCCCCTGCAGTATGCATTGTCGCGCACAATACCCAAATAAAGAGCTTTTCTGCCAAACCGTATAAAACCTTCACATAATTTTAATAAATCTTAAGTAATTAATAAAATTTATAATTTGTAAGAAATCTATAAGTATGAATTTACAGCAAATATAAAAACTTTCCATATAATAATTTTAAAATATTTGGTTTAAAGTTTTTTAGACAAAGCTTCACAGGCCCCTGACGTACAATCAAACAAATTCAATTTCTTAGATAAATTATGAAACGTGATTCTAGGACTTTTACTTTTTTACAATAACTCCTATAGGTTAATAATGGAAGATTTGTCTTGGATAGAATTTTCGTCTTCTCAGATTACCGTCAGTTTAAGAGTCTGAGGTTAAACACAATGAACAAAGAAATGCATATTTCAAAAATCTGTCTTTGATCGTGTTTTTTATTGCTCTCTCGTTATAAAGATAGCATTATTTAAATTTGAGGTAAAGAAGCGTGCCATGTATATATTTCAAGTGAGTTTTTCTTAATAAAATTTGATGATGATGTTATCAACTTTTTAGTAGGGACAAATATTATCAGTCTGAATAGGTAAAATATGACGAAAGATCTAGTGCAGTTATGTGCAGTTATTATTTCAGGTTGAGTATCAATTAAGGCTCCTCAACCTGAAATAATTTTTTCGACTTTGTCAAAGCGGGTTACAATAAATCTATGTCCGGACTTTTTCCTATTGTTAAAGTAACAAATAAAAATTATTTCGATACGGCACGTGGTCTACCGACTGTGCAGTTTTCTTGAATTTTATGAGGGATCCTCTGTAAAATGCTTACGAAGTCATACAGTGTAATACCAATAACAACGGATGATCATCAACCAAGGTTATATCTCGTTACACTGGTACAGTAAAACTATCGCTATTTGGAAATGATTTCACTGCGGATAAAAGTTTTGTTAGTGCTTTTGTCAGCACCTGTATACAGTGGTCTTGGTGGACACATTTACAACAGGGACTAAAGGATAAAACACCCTAGGAGCTAACAAAACTTTTATCTGCGGTGAAATCACTTCTAAATACCGACAGTTTTACTAAGTATAACTCGAGTACCTTAATTCCTTGCCTTAGCACCGATCTAAACTAATAAGAGCAGCAATTGTAAAATTTGCATAAACTTTAGCTAACTATCCCTTTTAAAAGTTTAAAATCTACCCAAATAGATACATACATTAAATTCAGTAGCACGGAATGCACACCTGTAGTAAGTAAAGAAATTAGACAACGGTAGAACATCATATCGCAAAAAATTGCGCAGTATAGTAAAAACCGCATTTCTATATATATACGGTTTTGTAAAATTTGATTAATATAAGTAATAGAACAATATTATGTTAAAATTTATAACAAGTTACTATTTTAGTATTGCACAACCTGTAAAATTTTGTACGTACATGAAATGATGAATACTAATAATGTAGAAATTATTAAATACTTTTTAATATATAAATTTTGGTTAGCGATTTACTATGCTTACGATGACTTTAAAAAATTTGTAAGAATTCAGAACATTCAATTTTACAGTTTTTAATCCTTTAAATTCTAAAATTTATTTTTCGCAAAAATCTTAATGTCAGCTCCAAAAAATAAATGTAAATTCCTAAATGACACGTATTGTGTGTAATTTACTATACGAAATTGTTGATGGGGATGATCAGACCGTTTTGGTTAGCATTTTACTGTCTACATGATATTCCTACAATACCTACATCAAAAACTTCATAACAATCGGTTAAAGCTACTACCTAAATCATATGAAAAATCTACGTAAGATGATGGGTAAAAACCGAACCACCACCACCTTTTACGTTACAATTGACAATTTTAGTTACTAGCAAGGTTTCGGACACTTTTAGAATTTAAGTATAATAAAATTGTTCTGATCACATTTTACTCCGCAGGCATAACCTTAGAAAGTTTTATAAATTGGGTCTATTTGGCGAAAGGTTAATTTAATGTTGTCTCAACATTTGATAACCCCGAGACTTCCAAAAATTCGGCATCCTGTTTCTTTCTGTCTGTTGTTTGTTGGTGATTTTATTAAACCGATAATCTCCGAAACTCTTGCCTGCGTTGTAAAAATATCGTGTATATGGACAACACTAACCAAAATTTCTCTCGCCATCCCCACCACCAATATGAGCACGTCAATTTTGGTGGAAAATCCGAACTAAAATGTGGAATCTGTTATAAATAGACAGCGGATTTCTGTCGGGCTACGTCACGATTATAGGTGGAGACGCGCTGCATCGCCGGGACTCAGTAGCGGGTGATAGGTAATTACTGAATTTAATTGTCATTTGATTTCATAAATACAATTAACGATTTATTAATCAAACGGCTAAGTAAATGAGAACTGGAATTAACAGCAGAGTGCAACGAAGCAGCGTTATTCTAATCTCAAATAAACGAAGTACAGCCGGTAACTGCAATGAATTCCCATCCCGAACGAGCCGTACCGAGTTTGGCCTTGTCTAGCCCGACAGAAATCCGCTCCCTAGTTATAAATGTGTGGTATAAATTTCCCCAAGCCGTAGCTATTTTGTTTGCAGTGGTGAACAAAAAAAAGTTACCTAACAAACTGGTTTAAGTGAAACATATTGTTGTGACACATCCTGTATATCACTAAACGCCTTTGGAGTTGTAAACAGTTTTGGACTTACCATCAATTCCCTGAGAATGTGTCATTGCGGGATATAAGCCTGCATAGACTTGATCCATTTACATAACCTAATACGATGAGCATGTGGAAACTTACAAGGCACTCCTAAACCTACGTGTTGGGACTTAAATAAATAGTATAGTGCAAATGTATCGCCAAAACTGTGGGCGTTGTAGTCCACCATGAATTAGTGGAATATGACTTTCAAGTGAACAGTAAGAAACTATAATTGCAAATAATTTACTACTTCAGCTATTGTCCTCCCCGTTTTATCTATGGATTGAACTCGAACTCAAAAATTCATATTTAGCAGATTATTTAAACAAATTTCTTTGTGTTTATAACAAAGTTATATTTCCGGAATGGAGGATGTGTATATGCAGAGTGTGTCGCTCAACGCGCGGTTTTCGATATCTCTTTAATTATTATTATTACTATTGGTAGAGATAGAAAAAGTCAGAGACTAAGGTTGTACTTACGGCGCTTGTAGTAGCGTACACTAAAATAATTTTCGATTATACAAAGTATTTTGTTTTTGAAGCATAGCACTAAACTTAGTTTTTTTTTTTACATAGAATAGCCTATATATTTTTACATATTCTTATTAGCCTTCTCCTAAGTTTTATATCCATTGTTTATTTTTGAAATTCCGATGCGACCTTACCACGTTATTACATTTTTTTTTACTTTTTTTTTAGTAAAACAAGGATTTAAAAAAAAATCTGAATAACATTATTTTTAAGATAATTAACGAGATATCGAGGAGCACACACATAGTGACTCATTCTGTATATAAATATAACCTTAGAGAATTTGGAAGACTATATATGAACATGGTCTCTTTTAATTTTGTAAATAATCTAACTACATTTTTAACTTAAATAGTAACATTGTTGTACACAAGCAAAGACCAAAAAATGATCTTTTTTCAAAGGATAGGTATGTATGGCCCTATTTTGTTTCAGAGTATTAAACAAGCAAAAAAATATATATCCCTTATATAGTTAATGTGTTTTAACGATACAAAGACAGTAAACATACGCTCTGTCGTCCTTATGATTTGAAGGAAATCTCATGACCATATTAAGGACTGTTACTTTTGCCGTAGTATTGTAAAAACGTATACTCAAAATAAGCGAAATATTAGATATCCTATAATGTTTCTTTGGTTAAAGGATTTCGTTCCTCCCTACAATTATTGTCAAGATCTACAAATGTCTGATTCGTCGTCTGATTCGAACATTTAAAGAAGCATGTGATGCAGAGGCTATGCTGGCAGTTATGAAGGCAACCGCAACAAGAATTATTTTCCCAATTTTATCGAAATAATCTCATAAGAAATTTACATCTGACAAAAAAGAGTAGAAATTAACAGACTCAAAACTCAAACCAAAAAATGTATTATGTTCAGTGGAAGAGGTCTGACTCTTTATATTTTTTCCTTAAATGGTATGATAATACTTAGTTGTAGTTTTTCTCTAGTACACCCTACAAAGCAGTGGACTATAGAGTGTTTATAAAATTTCCAAAGTAAAGGCTGCTTTGTAGCAAGAAAAGTGAATGCACGATATTTCTTGTTGCCCCGTGCATTTAAAAGAAAACTACGAAAATATTATATCACTACTGACAACAAATCACTCATTACAGCCGGATACCGTTGAACGGGTATTTAAAATCGGCGTAGGTAAAACTCAACAATTTTTCTCAGTTTTACACAACTAACTAGACAGCGATTATATACAGAATAGTTCCGACTCGACTGGAATGGATTTGACTAGACTCTACTTCTCCCACTCTCTGGACTACACTACCCTGCTTCCGACGGTGGTTCCAATTTAAACAGCCACGCGGCCCTTCTCGAAAGGTCTCCGTCACCGCTTCTAGGCTTGTTCTGCAGCACCCATCGCGACGTCCGCTTCCAGGCTTTTCTTTAGCGAACGCCGTACGGCCGCCGTCACCGACGATAAGTCACCCATCATTACCGCACATATGTACTAGAAAACACATAGGTGTCGTACCAGGGCAGCGTATTGGTTTATTTCGTAACAATATGTAATGCAATGTGATTAATGATTATATTAGTCTAAAATATGCACTGACAAAGAAAGGTCTGGTTGCCAAGAACATCTATTATGTCCG